GTCGGCCCCAGCAGTCGGCGGTCCAGCAGTCGGCGGTCCAGCAGTCGACGCCCCCGGACCAGAAGTCGACGCCCCCGGACCAGAAGTCGACGCCCCCGGACCAGAAGTCGACGCCCCCGGACCAGAAGTCGACGCCCCCGGACCAGAAGTCGACGGTCCAGAAGTCGACGGTCCAGAAGTCGACGGTCCAGAAGTCGACGGTCCAGGGTCTTGTGGCCGACGCCCCTGCCAGTCCTGTGGCCGACGCCAGTCCTGTGGCCGACGCCTCTTCCTCGTGTTCTGAAGTCGACGCCTCTGATGACGTTGCCTGTCCAGAAGTCGACGCCTCTGATGACGTCGCCTGTCCAGAAGTCGACGCCTCTGATGACATCGCCTGTCCAGAAGTCGACGCCTCTGATGACGTCGTGTCCGAAGTCGTCGCCCCTGATGACGACGTGTCCGAAGTCGTCGCCCCTGATGACGACGTGTCCGAAGTCGTCGCCCCTGATGACGACGTGTCCGAAGTCGTCGCCCCTGATGACGACGTGTCCGAAGTCGTCGCCCCTGATGACGACGTGTCCGAAGTCGTCGCCTCCTCCTCTGATGACGACGTGTCCGAAGTCGTCGCCTCCTCCTCTGATGACAACGTGTCCGAAGTCGTCGCCTCCTCCTCTGATGACGTCCCGTCTGATGACGTCGCCTCCTCCTCTGATGACGTCCCGTCTGATGACGTCGCCGCCACGTCCGCCTCCTCCTCTGATGACGACGTGTCCGAAGTCGTCGCCTCCTCCTCTGATGACGACGTGTCCGAAGTCGTCGCCTCCTCCTCTGATGACGACTTGTCCGAAGTCGTCGCCTCCTCCTCTGATGACGACGTGTCCGAAGTCGTCGCCTCCTCCTCTGATGACGTCCCGTCTGATGACGTCGCCTCCTCCTCTGATGACGTCCCGTCTGATGACGTCGCCGCCACGTCCGATGACGTCCCGTCTGATGATGTCGGCGAAGTCGGCTCATCTGACGACGTCGCCGCCTCCTCTGATGACGTCGGCGAAGTCGGCTCGTCTGACGACGTCGCCGCCTCCTCTGATGACGTCGCCGAAGTCGGCTCGTCTGACGACGTCGCCGCCTCCTCTGATGACGTCCTCTGAAGTCGGCTCGTCTGACGACGTCGCCGCCTCCTCTGATGACGTCCTCTGAAGTCGGCTCGTCTGACGACGTCGCCGCCTCCTCTGATGACGTCCTCTGAAGTCGGCTCGTCTGACGACGTCGCCGCCTCCTCTGATGACGTCCTCTGAAGTCGGCTCGTCTGACGACATCGCCGCTGCCTCGTCCTCTGAAGTCGGCTCGTCTGACGACATCGCCGCTGCCTCGTCTGGGGATGCTCTTTGCACTCAAGAGGCCGACGCTCCATCCAGCCCGGCGTCTCCACGGTCTCCGGTTCCGATGGTGGTTTTGAGGGCAACGCCGGCCCAGCCTGCAGTGACTTTGTCGCCGGCCCAGCCTGCAGAGCTCCTCCTCTGCCGCAGGCGCTGGCCTCCAGAGGCCCGTCGCCTCCTCTTCTGCCGCAGGCGCCGGCCTCCAAGGGCCCGTCGCCTCCTCATCTGCCGCAGGCGCCGGCCTCCAAGGGCCCGTCGCCTCCTCATCTGCCGCAGGCGCCGGCCTCCAAGGGCCCGTCGTCTCTTCCTCTGCCTCAGACGCCGGCCTTCCAGAGCTCGTCGTCTCCTCCTCTGCCTCAGACGCCGGCCTTCCAGAGCTCGTCGTCTCCTCCTCTGCCTCAGACGCCGGCCTCCAAGAGCCTGTCATCGCCTCCTCCTCTACCCCTCTGCTGGTCCCTCTGTTCCTCTGGGCCCTTCCTCCTGGTTCCCCTCCTCCCACCCTGCTCCTCGTTCCTGTGGGCGTCTGGGATCCGCCCCTTTAGGGGGGGGGTACTGTCACACCCGGTCATGTCTCCCCGTTTAGTTCAGCCTTGTGTCTCGTTGATTACTCCCACCTGCCTCTCGTTTCCCAATCACCGTAGCTCCCAACCCTCCTGTATTTAAACCCTGTCTGTTCTTTGTACTGTGTCGGATCATTGTTTCATTGTCCAGCGTGCGTTCCAATAAATCTGTGTTAAAGAATCCTACCTGTCTGCCTGCTTCCTCCCCGGTCTGGATCCTCACCTCTTCTCCGCTCCACTCAGCAGCGCATCTGACATGTTATTGGAGGATTTGCCATCATGTGCACTAGAAGGAACACAACTTCCATGATCACACTAGCCACCCCAAAAGAGATGCGTTGCCAAGGTAACCAGACTGAATGACAGTTTAGAGGAGGCTGCAGTGTCAGACTACATCTCTTGGCCACATTTTTAGCTCCATGCCACATGTCCACATGTTGTTGGATGGAATGGCCTAAATGACAAAAAATTACTCATTTAAGAGTACTTTTACACCATGGCTGTCACTATCCATCCATCCATTATCTGAACCTGCTTTTCCACATGGGGTCGCGGGGGGGGGGGGGGGGGGGGGGGTTGGCTATCTCCAGCGGTCAACGGGCAATCAGGCGGGTAACACCCTGGACAGAGAGCCAGTCCATTGCAGGGCAACACAGAGACACACAGGACAAACAATCATGCACACACACACCTAGGGACAATTTAGACAGACCAATCAACCTAACAGTCATGTTTTTGGAGTATGGGTGGAAGCCGGAGAACCCGGAGGGAACCCACGCATGCACAGGGAGAACATGCAAACTCCATGCAGATGCAATCCCAGGCTGGGAATCGAACACAGGTTCTTCTTGCTGCAAGGCAACAGCTCTAACCACTGCGCCACCGCCCATGACTGTCACTAGTTTATGTAAGTGTTGTTACCTGTCAGAGGAGAGCATGCGCCCTCAGCGTGACTCCTCACACTTCCTTTAGTTGATTCCATTGAGGAACTGTGATGTCACTGTTGGCTCTAGTTTTCTGGTGGCATTCATCTAGATGTACTGCTGCATGGCTTTGTTTTCTTTTCTTTTCAAGACACTGTGAGAAGCATATGTGTGATTTGCCAAATCAAATGGTTATTAGCAACAACTAGCCACCGGGCGCGGTTCTGTGTGCGGGGAATTATGATGTCATGAACTACGGTGGCCCGAATGACCAGGCTGTTACAGTAACAGCTTTTTACTAACCCATAAAGGTGTTTGGTCCTCACAGACTCACAAACAAGGAAACTTGGCGTCTAATATGACATTGTCCAGAGACTCAGACCTGCTCCCGTGTATTTTAGACATGATGTTTATAGATGAGTCCACCAATATTTTTCAACAACTGGACATAATTGTATTCATTTTCAACAACATTTTGATGGATATTTAGAGGAATTAAAGGTAAAAACTGCTAATTGTCTCTTTAAGGTTAGGGTTAGGCACAGTCCAGTCACTAAAATGAATGGAAGCCAATGACAGTCCTCACAATGAATGCTAGATGAGAATGTGTGTGTGTGGGTGGGTTAGGGTTAAATTGTGTTAAAATGTCCAGTGAAATTTATGTTGCTGGCTGGCAAGGGTGCCCCTAAGGGGTGGCCAGAGGTGGCCATGGCCACCCCTAGAAAATTGCTGGCCCCCAGGAAAAGCCAGTGTTAACAAATCATATTAATGGTCAGCCAAACCATATATTGGTCTTATTCAAGACATAATTATAAAACAAAATAAAAATATTACAAGTAATGAGTAAAGAAATAACCTGAATAAAAAAAATACATATGTTTCTGCTGCTCACCATTTAAAAAAGTTTTAATCTCCATAGTTTTTTTAACACAGCAACAGGTGAATTAACCCAGAAAAAATAAATTTTTGAATTTTATTATGGGTAACGTTTTAAATAGCTGAAATGTATATTCTCTGAAATGTTCGTGTTTGTAAAATGTGTTTGTACTGTTATTTTATTAAAATAGAATAAAGGCACAATGCAGTACATCACCACAGGCTAAATTCTCCCAGAGTTACCACAAGGACCAATTTGGTGTGCAACCCCAAAAATGTTGCTGGCCCCATTTGGCCACCCCTCTCAAAATTTTCTGGAGGTGCCCCTGATGGCCAGGTAGTTCTCTGGATGCTACACATCTACACCTAGAATCGCCCGTCTGGCTCCATGTCCAACTCAGTGACAGTTGCTTCCTCCTCTGGCCAAAGAAATCACAGGAAACATTTGGACTCAGGCAGCACACACATGTGAGTCCAGACTGAATGTGAAGGCTAGCTGAGTGGTCCTCAGTGCTGGTACTTTCTCCATCACTGACGGAAACAAACAGGGTGTTGGTGGTTCTGTTAAACCATGAACTGATCTCCTCAGGACTGAGAGGCTAAATGAATTGTTGGAACAGATCTGCAGCCACTGCTTATTAAACCCGTCCCATAGCATGGTACCAGAAACCTGAGACCTAGAGACTTAAGAACCACAGAGCAGAAACCAAACTCAATGCTTCACTGTCCTCCGAGAACAGCTTCCCTACCTGCTCTTGTGTCGGCACAGACGAGCCTTCAGAACCATGGACAGCGACGGCTTCTCTCATGGCCCAGGTCTGTCTGTCTGCTCTTTGATGCTCTGAACCCTATCAGTCAGAACCGGTTCTGTTACTGGTTCGGTTCCAGACTGCAACTCTCTTATTGTTGTGGATCTGGACGAAGACCTGGTTCTGGTCCCGACTGAACTGCACCGGTGTTTTTTCCTCTTATTGTTCAGTTAGAGACCGGTCTCCTGTCGTCTGTTAACCGGTCTGTTTCCGGTTCTACATCCTCCCATACAGACACGATGCTGCTGATAATGAAAACTCCACAAAGACTCTTTCTGTTTGAACCGGATCTTTATTAGAACTCGGGACTTTTCTCGCAGATAAGTCCGCTATTATTCTGTTACAATGAGGTTCCGTGCTGTTTGGACCTGAGGTTTGGTCAATGATGTAATGTATCTGCGGGTATAAATATAGAGGCATGGCTGCTCCGCACACCCGCGTGGCTCTAGTGTCGAACTCAGTGCGTCTTTCGGAAAT